GAAAAAAAGACAAAAAAGATAAAGAAAGAGCTCTTATTTTTAATCAAAGAGTTAAAATGTAGGGTTTCATAATAACCTTTTCAAAACTGACTGAAGAACTAGACTGCTCCTGAGCTTCCTCTAGATGCAGCGAAACCCTTCATAGACTTCCTGCGAGCACTCATTAATTGAGCATCAGTGTCAGGTGCCTTGTAGTTTTGGAAAATTCTACTACACTTCTGCATTTGTGGTTAACCAAACACTACAGGTTTGCCCCCAAGCGACTGACGGTCCCATGTACGGCTGAAGGTCCCATGTATGGCTAAATGTCCCATGTACGGCTAGTACAAGTCCTAGTTCTCAGAAGTAATTCAAGGCCCTAATTTCAGCTGCCAGTTTGGAAGCAGAAAATTAGAAGCTTCCTTGTTTAAGCTTTCAAAGGAAATTGGAGAAGTGAGAATGTGAGGTTTCTTTTTTTTTTTCTATTTATATTCTGAAATTTGAAACAGCTGCCACAAAATGTTTATAACCATACATAGTGCTCAATAAATGTCTAAACCTGGAAGGAACTATGCATGAATTATGTCTGGTTTATACGTTAAATAAAAATAGAAAGAGCCAGTTGAATTTTAAATGTTCTTCCAACATTCAGTAAGCCTTGAAATTATGATGTCTATAGAATATTGCCTGCAAAAGTATCTAATGCATTGCATATACTATATCAAAATATTTTAAAAGCATTCCAAGAGTTTACCAGATCAGGCAAATACTTGGGCATAATTAAGCCTTCATAAATTGGCTTTTCATAGGGACAATTCTTGGAAAATAATTTGATTTTTAAGCTCACCCCATAACATGCAGTCCAAGATTAACCATAAGGAAAGGTCTGAGCTGCAAGTACTTGCTGCAAGTCATTGCACTTGGGCAGGTCAATAAACACGCCAGGCACGCAACTTAGCCTGCAGGATCAGACCCCAGCGGTGAGGCAGAACAAGCCCCTGCCCAGCCCCGGACCCCGGCCCTGAGTGGCAGACCCCAGGCCAACTTTGAGGAGGCCAAATCCTCAGCTCATCCCCATATGGGGAAATGTAGCGTGTTTGATTACAGCATCTTTGGAGAGGTGGGAGCAGGGCCATGCTACGACCCTGACCCCAGCCTCTGCTTGACTGGCTCTGTGCCAGCCAGGAGCGACAGCCTTCCAAGGTGGGGACAAAATGGGGGACGCCGGTGTTTCTCAGCATCCACCCTTCCTACCCCGCTGAAGAGAGCCACGCTTTAAAGAATAGGCTTCAGGGAGCTGCAGTGCAACCTTCATAGTGGGTACAAATGCATCAATAAAATCACACCAGAGTTTTGCCTACAGTGGAATCCACCTCAGCAGATATGTGAAGCTAACGTATAAAAAGCAGTGTCATTATATATCTTGACTGAGTCGCAAAATACTTTGGTAGATTACTTTTGCTGCTTCTTTGGATGATTATTTTTCAACCGCAGATACTCTCCAGTCACGCTGACTGATTTAACTTTGAAGTGATAACACTTGGCCTGTTTGACCCCAGGGAGTGAAGATATTTAATATTTTGTCTTCCAGTTTATTACCCATCCCAGACAATCAAACCAAAATAAATCCATTAAAATGTAATTTTAAGAAGAGTATTCCCAAGTTTTGTTAGCTAAACCACATCTTTGCAATTAACGTGACCGTTATAAACATTTTAGGCCTTGCTCAAGATCACCTGTGTATATCAAAATAAAATATTTTCATCCCAATTTTATGGCACAGCCCTGTTAGAAAAATATTTCAGCGGAACAACAAAATCAAAACAAAACCTTGCGGCTTAACTCCCTAAACAACAGAGGTAGTTTAGATTTATTTCAGCCGTCTCCACCACTGCTCTGTGCATAATAAAAGCGCTTCCCAACTCTCCTCGCACAAAATGCAAGCGTTGTCATCTCAGTCCTTCCTTGCCATGTGCTCTTCCCACAGGCACAGGAGTGCGCTCTGCGTGCCCCCCATCACCCTGGCAGCTGAAAGTTTCCTAGATTTCAGCCCCCGAAAGTGAGCAGGTGAACGTAGGCCCTGAGAGAGACGCATGTGTTCCCATCCACCATCCTATTTTCATGGACATGGGGACAGAGCAGTGAGCTCCTCTGCTGACCCAAAGGCACCGACAGGGGGTGGGTCACTGCCTTCCTAAGCAGGTCCCCTGCCCCTTTGGCCTGGGAAGGCAGCAGGAAAGGCACAGGGTGCCGAACCCATCGCCCCCTTGTTCCACCTCCTCCAGAAGCTGGTTTGTCTCCATTTAGCAGAGGCCATCTAGCTTTGGGATACCAGTTTATGTTCTTACCCTTGTAATGAGCCCCAAGAAAACTTTTGAGAAGCAGCTCTGGCACCCGTGAGGGTCCATGCTCACACAGGAAGGATCTTTTTACTGTGGACATGCTCCAAGCCTGGAGTCGCTTGTACAACAGCCAGCAACATATCCGAGTGTCTCCATACAGGCCACGGCCTTTTAGTTGAGAAGTTTATGCTCCAAGGGTAGAACAGGGTCACTGCCTTGCAGCCAGTCTTTGCCAATGAGCAGATGAACCACGGCAGTTGCCTCAGGGAGCTGTAGCTGAATTTTCTGGGGACACCAACACAGTGACACATCACGTTCTTGCCTACTAGTTCAACCCCATCCCTGGGTGAACCTGACAACATGAAAGTAAGTTAATACAGCCATGCTAACGCTGAGCTTCGTTTGAGACGCACACCACACAGGAAGCCCTCCTTCTGCATAAGGAGCAGCCGCATCTCCTCGCTGGGATATCCCTTGACAGAGCTACGTAAATCGGAAGTCCCACTATGTGAATAACGGTTTACTGCAAAGCTGGGGGAAAAGGAGCTGAAGCCATCCCATTCTATGGCTTCAGAGCAGGGCAAAAACAACCAACAGGTTAAATGTTTCCCTGCTAAATTTAAGCAGCAGTAGCCAGCCGCTGGCATTGCTCCGGAGGGCTTCTGCCTGCATGATGATAATGTTCAATGTTAAGACAGTGCTTTCATAGCATATATTTTTCTTAAGTTAAAAAACCCCCAAACTTTTAGTAAAGCTCACTCTGGGCCTTCCCTTGTTCCTCTGCTATCCATGGTGGTTTTGCCACTGACAACAAAACAGGAGGACCAGAGCCTTTAATGCCCTACTTTTAAGAGTTAATACATTTACAGAAGACTATACAAACAAGCGCTGAACAGCAATTACACACTATTAGAGCTACACAATATTTGTACATGTTGCTAAAACAATGCTGCTAAATGAAGAAGCTTTATTAGTTCAGAGTTTTTGGCTGCTGTTATTAAAAATATATTTACCTGAAAGGAAATCCAAGTATTTCATTTTACAAACGATTTAAAATATAGCAGTAAGCAACATAAACTATTGCTTTTTATGTTTATACAATTTTTTTTTTTTGGCATAACACTGCCATACAGTTACAGAATTATAAAATATATCTTTATAGTGCATTACAAATCCAGAAACTGGTTACCACTCCTACCACATACATATGGTATTGGTACTACCAAACATGCACAGCATTCTGTAATTAAACATTGCAAAGGAATATAAAGAAGAGAGCAGGACCATTCATAAAAACGGACATGTAGCTGTTTCATTTTGCAAGTAAAAACTTAGGGTTTGGTTTTTTTTTTCTTTTGACTGCACTTTTTTCTCAGAATACATTTTAAGAATGACGTCTACCCTATTTCCGAATTTTATCAGTGCAAAACTATACCTAATCATCTGCCGCTGAACTCAAATTGTGTAAAGGGCAAACAACCATGGAATAGGTTAAAACACAGAAAAAAGAGCAACTAATGATTAGCAAACATGCTTCAGCAGATCCCAAAAATATAAGTGCCATTGCCTTTTTTTACTGCAAAACAATAGTTTTCACGTAATTAGCCACAGTAGTAAATACAGTAAACAGCATATTTCACAATAAACTTCAGTTGATGAATACGCCACGAGACTTGTAAGCGTGGTAGAATTAAAAAGTGCCAAGTTTCTAAGAAGTAAGAGACTTCTTTCAGAACAATTTGCCAATTCTCACATTTGTTATTTCATAGCAAACAGCTTAATGCTTTTGAAAATAAATATAAAGGTGATTATAAGCGTAAAGCCACAGGAGGTCTCTAATTGATCTCTATAGCTTTTGAACTATTTTTTAGGAGTCCATTAGGTATGGCATGTATTATTCTTTAAAATAAACTCTTGCTTTCCCCAATGGTCTTAAGTATACTTAAAACATGGGCCGTTAAAGGAACAGAGCTTTCAGGAAAAGAAATAGTTCATAGGCAATACAGAGCACAGAGACACTACAGAGACACAATTTACACTCCCCTTGGAGAACTCCATGTAAATACCTGTTAGTAGCGAACCTGTGGTGTTGACCGTGATGTGAATGGAGGGCGGGTTGCCCATGCTTAGGCCTTTTTGACCCATCCTTCATTTTCAGACTCTGAAGGCCATCAAAAACACCTTTTCAGCAGTTACTCCAATTGCAATTGGAACTGGGGACACGTATCAAAATAAGTAACCAAAATGTGGAATGAGGAGTATGGTTCTCAGCAAACCCCAGACAGATAGCAATTCCATCTTCTACATGACCACAACATTACACCCATTGATGCTGGTGTCTACAAATCCAGAGGTACCTCATTCACATGTGGGCTAGGAATAAGTTTTGCCTTTGACTGATCGTGCTTTTACACCGATAGGGAAAAAAAAAAAAAAAAGTTGGAATCTGACTTTTAATACTTCATACAAAAGGATTTATGTGTAAAATTTATTCAGAAGGCACAAGTAAGAGAATATTGTCATCAACATTGGACAAGTTTTCTGTGAAGCAGACATCCTCTGCCTAAGGACAGAAACATAGGACATTTTCTGCCTAAGCAGGTATTTTATCATTAGAATCTCCCACGGCTTTTAAAAACTGGCTTGAAGAGGACTACTGTTCACCTTACAGCACTTTTAGTAACCATGTTCAAACGCACTCGCAACTTCTGAATGAACAGATCTGAGACAAACAATCGGTTACTTTTTGCACACAAAACAATTAAAACATGGAACTCACAGCCACAAGGGATGGTGGAGACTGAAAGAATCCATGAGCTCAAAAATGGAGAAATTCCTGGAGAAAAAATGGGGTCACCTTATCTGTTCTTTCTTTGACACCATCTGTTGGTGGCCACTGCTGGAGGCAGGATACAAGGTGGGAAACGCCTTTGGTTCTGATCCACACTGGTAGTTCTTAGGACAATGTACATCATCATTAGCATGATACGGTCACACTTTTATTCGTGGCAAAACTTACTTCACATACTTACATCTTACTCATAAATACAGCTGTTGTCAAGGATATTCACTATGATATGTTAACTGTAAAAGTATGGCGTAATGAGAGTTACATTTTCACTTATGCATATATATCTTACTATAATTTGTGATCAGTACCATCAGAACTGCCAGGAAAATAAAGGTGCAAAAAAAATTCAATTTAACAGATATTACATAAATTTTATTTACAAACAACCAAGAGCTGTTTTCCATTTAAATCTAGTAATTCTCCCTTGACTTACCTTATTGGATCATCCATCAAGATTATACAGAGCTTCTGAGGCCCATAAACTTTCTGGTTATAGTACAGGTATATGCAAGTGCAGATTATTAGAATTGCCCCGGAATAATTCAAGAAGGCATACACGAGGTTACATAAAATATTAACTATGATGATACAAATACCTAATACATCAGACTGCTACAATCTTACGAGCAGGAAACTGAGGAGCTGGCCAAGGCAGGGAACGGCTCTCAAAGGCTTATTGCAGATATTTTTAGCATCCTTCAGGATCACGCCTTTAAATATGAGCAATATGGCCAGCAAGAGCTCGGTTCTGCTCCTAGATGTGTGCACACATGTAACTGCTCTTCTGATCCAAATGGTCTGTGGTGCACACCTCATGTACCCAAGCTTTCAGTCCCTACGCCAACACTGCACCATGTACCGAGGCACAGTTACGCCCTGGACAGTAGGGCACAGAGCTGTAATGAATCTGAGAAGTGCTGCATTTTTGCACAATTTGTACAATCGCCTCCACTTGCACGCGTTTACTCGGCAATGTTTTGTCAAGTTGCGCATTCATATGTCCTTACCATAAGATACCTAAAATCAAACTTACAGATGTGTGCATATACACACTCCTCCCACTTAACAGTACCAGAGGCTATTCAGATGTACTTATTAGGAAGGAACCCCTGTGTAGCAGGGGTAATAAATGAATAGCTCAGATTCTAGTAAAACGCTGGGCCAAAACACATTATTGTCGTAAGCACACAGAAATCCCTGAGCGCTTAAGCATATAGCAAGCCAAAACCAAGCCTAACAGTGAGCAGACGTCCTGACTTTCTTTGCACAACCTCAGTTTCTGAAGTAATGGTTAAGTAACTAAGTACTGGCATTTAGGAGAATACAATCATTTCAACATATATTGTACTGTAAACCTGAGAGCCAATTCTTAGAAAGTTCAAGCACAGGGTGCTTCTGGTTGCTAAGGCCATGATTCTGTAACGAAATGCGTACAGTGCACCCACTTGATCCTCACAAATCTCAATGGGACGCTACGCCATTGCCCTGCAACGAATCCTTCTTTTAATCACTCGCAAAATAAGAAGAAACAACTCCTCCATGAAAAGAATGATAAACCATCACATTTTACATAGAGCAGAATTTGTTAGTTAAAGCCGAAGTATCCCATGGGAGTAATCCTGTCGATAAAGGTAGAAGACAAAGAGTGCAGGAGCCCACCTGACACAAAAAACCTCACTTACCTAATCCCCATAGTTCTTTGCAGGCAATCATTATGCCACTACTCTTCACACTTCTACGAAAACTGATAGAAGCATACTGAGTTGTGGATTTTTTAAAAAAAAAATACTAATTGCAGAGTTAATAAGGATACGAGTCCCAAAGTTCTTGACTGTATTTTCAGATACACTGGGCCCTTAATGCAGACAGCCCTGCCAGATTAGAAGTTCATTAAGTACTTAATTACGAGTGGAGAACCAGCAATCATGTATAGGTGAAAGCTGTGTCGCAGTAACAGAACACCATACTGCAGAGAAATCTTTTGGATGCCCATCCAGAGAGCTTTCTGGTTTAAAATTAGAGCAAGATTTCCCTTTTTTTGTTGGTTTTTTTTTTGTTCAGTAGACGAAAAATCTCCTGAGGTCATTGATGTTCAATCAAATTACACTATAATTGTAATAACACTCCCAGCATTCCTTATTTCACTTGAACACTATGCTTTTTTTTTTTTTCCAGTGTTTAACCTTAATATTGAAGTCCATAAATTGAAGGCTCTCTATAACTACCTACCTTATAGTTATGGTCCTCAAACATAGGGTATAAATTTTCCCTAGGCCATTCAAGAAATAACTATGTAAAACCAACGCTGTTAAGCTGGCACGGTTAGGCACTCAAGATTTAAAAAGTCGTAGGCAGAACACAAAGTCATCCTCCCTGCACGTTATGAGTGGGGTCAGAGTCCTCAACTACACAGACCGATTTTATCTCTGCATTTCCTGACCCTTTCTGCCCTGAAGGTCAGAAGAAAACATGAATAAGGGGATCCTAGGTCAAGCCCAGGGAATCGTGAAAGGTTTCTCAGCACCTTTCCAGCTTTAAAGAGGCGGTGGCTATGGGAAGAATTCTCTGGGGCATTTCTGCTCTGAGAGACTTAATGCCTGCTTGAGTAACCTGAGTTACGCTTAAAAATCCACGTGCTCACATTCCTTTCCTTACAAGTCAGCACAGGAGAAGGAGGGATCTGTCTTCCTTCTTCCCTGCCTCTTTAGGATGGAAAGAGCCTAATCTTCGTCCGTGGGTACCAAGATCTCTAACTGCCACTCCATCTGATCCCAAGAAACAGTGCTACCTGGGGAAGGCAATGGATGAGGCACTGCCACGATGGGAATTAGCGAAACAGGAAAATACATGACATTTTGTCTATGTTCTGAAACCCCCAAAGACTGCCATTTTGAGTTCTAAGACTTGAATAAAGTCCTGTAGCACTCTGACACTCCAACTGCAGTCAGCCACTCACCTCACAACATTTCATCAAAAATATATTAAAGGCAGCAGATAATATATACACTTTTAAATAGAAAATACATACAGAAGTTTTAGACTATTTTAGAACCGTAAAAGGTGTGAGTTTTACCTGCGTTATCTTTAATTCATATTCCACAGAATTAACTTGCTGGGTACTACCTTCTTTGACTGAACGGCACGAAGTCAGAAGAGGCTGCTCAGGGAAAGCACACAGTCCTTCCATGAAGAAATTTGGGGAAGATCTTAACTGGGAAATTCCTGCCTGCTGGGCTGCCGCCGGGCCAGCAAACTGGCCTGCCTCAGGTTTCAGCCAACAAGCAAAATAATATTAAACTGTGAAAGACCCCTGATAGAGAGCAAAGAGAAGAAACATACAGCTGGAAGGGAGCATCAGGACTGCCTTCCTCTCCCAGACCAGCAACAGGGGATTTGGCATTGTGCAGACCTTACCCAAAACTGGCCAAGAAACATCCGAGTTTAGGTAAGATCCAGCTGGACAGGCCTGGTGACATTTTCTCTGATGGCTTTGATGATCAAGCAGTGCTCTGTGGCGAAGACACTGCTTGTCAGCTGTCCAGAGGTTTTCCAGGTGCTGATCCCAGCTGGGGGAGTTGTTTTGTTAGAGCTGATCATCAGAGAGCTTTCACACTGCGACCAAATCTGAGTGATCAAAGGGATCCCTCCCCCCAAATTAGTAGTAGTAACAAATGAGTAAAGAGAAGAGAGAACTTAACAGGGACTAGAAGAAATCTAAAGGGCAACTTCCCTTGTACCCAAAAGCTGTGGATACAGTTTCATTGCAAGTTAAACTTTTATTCAGTGTACAACGATACCCAGCTGCATAGGACATTTTTATATCTCTTACTGTGTCCCACAAGGATTTTAATCTAAGGTAAAAGATGCTGTGCAAATACTGCCATTAAACATGAACACACTTACTAAAAAAATAAATGCTAGGGAAAAAACTGTGTTCTTGAAATAATTTCTAGTCATTTCATAAAAGGAAATCAACACTTAAAGCACAGTAAAAGAAACTTAAAAATTCTGATATTCCAAGGCTTTCTAATAAGTTATGCGTTGTTGTTTTTTTTTTAAATACTGGATGAATTTAATGGCAAAAAAATAGATAAGCTTTTCTATGCAATCTGTCTGGAAAAGATAACGAATTTCTTAGCTTTGAATATACACAATTGTTTTAAAGAGCCACACCTGGTTGACTGCTGATAAACTGAGATTGAAAAAAAGAAAATTCATTAACCTAACAGAAACCTAATCTGATGCATTCGCAACAAGCATAGCCTCATGAACATTTTATACTACATTAGACGGAAATTTCACCCAAAATGAAGGAGCAATGAATAATTTGCTTCATTCAATATGAAACATAATGACTTTTAGCCTCAGACTCATGATTTGAGCTCATCCTTGTTCTTTGTGGTGGCCCCCCCTGAAAGCATATCCTTATCAAGGTTGTCTGGCAGATCTGCTGATGTGTTATTTGAAGAATTCTCAGTGTCACATAAATCTTTCTCTGTAGTGCCTGGGTGATTTCCACAGTCATTGTTCAGATTTTCATCATCTTTTTTGGAATGAGAAGCGTCCTCCTTTCCGTCTGAAGTGTCATGAATTTCTTCTGATTTTGAAAGCTGACCGGTATCAGTATCACTGTTCTTTTCACTGTTGCTCTGCCTAACAGCCTCACCGTTCATTTCTTGTTCATCCCGGTCATTTTCTTCCCCGTTTTTTGTGAGTTCAACCTTTCTTTCTTCAGTTGTTTTACCAGCTGAGCTTCCACTTGCCAAGGTATTCTTAGGCTCTTTTGGTTTCTTATGCTTAGAAATATAACTATTGTGAACAGAAAGTGGAGATGCTGGCTTTTTATTAGTTTTGCTTCCCTCCGACTTCTGTTTTCTTGGGGGTCCCCAGATAAAATGCTCTGAGGGGGTATAATGTTGCTGGGCAAATCTCAGGAGTTTCCTCCTTTCTCTTCGGTCTCTAATAGTATACACAAAATATTCTAGAGCACTTTGCTTAATGTTGGGAATGGTATCTTCCACAAGAGCTTCATGGAGAATAAATTTTACCAGGGGAGATTTGAAACTCTCATATCCAAGCTCGCCAAGACTTTTCAGAATTCGAGTGATTCTCAAGTAGTTGTGTTGAGACCTTTGGAAAAAAAAGGGTGAAAAAATTCCATTGAATCAGAAAGAACCCACCTTACAGATACAGAACTGGAACTGCAATTCCTCCCTCCTTTTTATCACTCCAGGTGTGTACTTCAGGCTTCCTGTACTTTAATTTCTCACAGCTGCTGAAGCTTGCTAGCACCTCCTTTGCTAGGATGTTGTGAGTGAAAATTAGTGTCTGTAAAATGCACTGATGCAACAGGCTGAAAAGAACATAAAATCGAAGTGTGTACTGATTTTGATTCCCTCTGCTGTTATGTAGTCTTTCCAAGGAGAAAACCAGTTGCTTTATAAAGTATGGGGTTTGTAGTGTATTGCAGTAATACAGCTACAGAACAGGACTCATTGCGCTTCACTTAAACTACTTAAAAGCTGGGTCTCCAGTCCAGACTAGCTACCCACACCGCTGGTAAAGTCAGTGCTGGGAGAAAAACAGGCACCTCTGGAGAGCAAGTCCCACTGCCGCAAGAAGTGTCTAAGATAAATGGAATGAACTGCCTTCTGGAAGTGCTTGTGAAGAGCTCTCTCCCTCATAAAGTACACCTAGCTGAACAGTAAGACTTAAAATGCCTAAATTTTAAATTACTAAAATGAAGTAAAAAGAGTCCCAATTCCTGATTTAAAACTGTGTAGCTACTCACTGGAGCGAATATAGGAATTGCAGTATAAAAAATGTTCAGGGAGTAACATTTGGGCTTCCTGAAACCCTGTTTTATCTGTGACCTGAGCCTGAGCCCACACCCATATTGGCTCATATAGTATTTAAGTAAAACTCATAACAAATTATTCCCATTATTCACCCAAAGTTATCCATCAGCAATTCTACCTACAAGCTTCCATGTGGATGGGAGAACAAAATACTGCAAGAAAACAATCTTCAGCTCTAAGGTCAGAGGTAGTAGGGAAGTGAAAATTTTGATACAATTAATCCACATGGGACAAAATTCGGTGCAAACTTATGCTCCACATAATGCCGATGAAAAGCGACAGATGTAATCTGCTGAAAGTTGGGCTGATGTTTGACTTAATGCGTGTCTAAACTTCTCCAGTTAAGCACCACAATTAAAAAGTATTAAATACATAGCATCTCATGCTTTGAGGAGGGAGGGAAATCTTGTTATTTAGCTTCCATACAGGTGCAGAGAGGTTGATTTGTCTCAAAAAGAAATGTGAATGCAAAGACAAGCCACTTGTTCTTCCCAAGTGAGAAGCAGCGCTTTGGCATCAGGTGAAAATGTGTTCAGTAGCATGACAAACATTAATTTGGAACTGTGATCTTCTTCAGCACCATCTGAAGTTGTATTTTCAGGGAATTCAGACTGGTAATGTGTGAGAAGCACAATCCACAAAAGGGAAAGGAGGAACGTACACATACAGACACAAACCAGACATGGACTATTTCTTTTTCTCTTTTTCCTGGCAATCTTTGGAAAAATATATCTTCCCTTTCTCTAGAAAACAAAAGGCTAAAGACATGCTATGGCAATTCTAGAGCACGGAGTGCATGTCGTTACTTACTCATTCAAATGTTGAAATCTTTCTTGCCAGTTAGCAGCTCGTGCTACGTTTCCAGTTTTATCAATTAGTTTTATTCCAAAAAACTCCAACATCATTTTGTAAGCCAAAAGGAATCTTCTAATTGCTTCTTTTGTTTTCTTGAATTCCTAATAAACAAAGAATACATCCAAAATTCTAAGTGGCACTAAAGCAAATACTTCTGCATTGTATAAAACAACTCTACATAACAAAAAGCAGTTATGCATCAAAATTAATGTGATGGTTTGTATTGAGCTCAATTTGTATTACCTCAATTTCATATGTAGTTAATTCTTTAGCATAGAAGTTCAGACCTTGTTCCCTCAGTGGGAAAAGCCTGTTAAAAGAAAAAGCGCATTACGGCTCATGGTGTATGAACACTTAATCGAATTAATGCTCTGAAACAGAAATAGATAATAAGTGACCAACCACTGTATGTAAGTGTGGTTATGTTCCAGTTTTTCATAGTCTCCTTTCCATTTATTTAGGACTTCTTCAATATAAACCCCTGCATAAAAATAATTTGAAAACTGTTAGGTAGCCATTAAAAACAGCATTCAGCTACATAAAGTACATACAATTTTCACATAACGATAGAATACATACTTTAATTCTCTTTCACATACTACGTGAAATAAGGTCTAATACAGCCATAAATAAATTCATTTTAATTTAAAATTAATTTAGTTCCTAAAACTTAATTAAAAATAAGAGATTTATCAAATTTCAATATAAACAAAACCAACTGACTTAGTAATACTGAGTTTCTTACCAGCAGAGGCTATGTGACAATAACCTCTGTATTAATAGAATTCCCCAAATGTTCTCATGTCCTAGATCCCTTTATCACACTGACTGGTAATTAACAAACCACTTACATAAAATATTGCATCATGAATCACCTGTCATTGTTTTAACATGACAAAACTCTGCAGGCATGCATGCATGCATACATATATATATATATATATATATAAATGTATCTCTCTCATCTTGGTAGGACAAAGCCCCCACTCTTTAAGAAATCTCCCATTCTAGGATCTCTCCAGCGGCAAATAACATTATGATTGGGAAATCTTTCTCAACCAACTGTGGCCAAGAGTGTTCCTGCCACTGCATGAGTTTGACCTTGGGTTCTCAGATCATGCTCAACAAATGAGAATTTCAGCAGCCTCAAAACAGTTGTGGAGTTCAGTCAGTTCCTCTTGGAAAGACACAGCGGTAGAAAAAGGGGACAAAGCACGTGTAAAAGGAAATTACTCATTCTTTGCACTGAGACCATGCTCATGAAATTCAGTCATGGGCCAGGGCACTTTTCCAGGCACTGCACAAATACACAAAGTACATAAAAGGATGTTCCTTCTTCCAAAACCTGGACAGTCTCTCTCCATGAATGAACGCTCAGTGTTAACCTGTTTCTACTCTGAAACCAACAACAGGTTTACCACTGCCGCATGGCCTCTCCTAAAGTCAAATAGCACGGGAGTGGCCTAAAAATCCCAAAGCCCCATTAGTCTCCTGTTATACATCTGAGACTTCTCTCTCTCCCCGCACTGAAAATTTCCACTTGGGTCTCAACGACAGTGGAGAACTCATTTGGTACTTTTCTTCAAGAAATGGAGAAAGCAGCCAAAGGGGCTGGGGTTTCCAGTGCAGGCAAGGCTGGAAAAGAGCCTTGCAGAGAGGACCTCCTGCCATCACCGCACTGTATCCAACCTACATTTCAAGTACTGGAAAACTCGTGGCTCAATTCCAGGATTGAGGGACATATAGGCCAGCTCTCCAGTCAGAACCATAAGCTAACTCTGTAGGTCATGGAATTGAACTATGGATCTAGTATTGCACTAGAAATGTCTTTTTTTAGTAACATTCCCTAGTAGTTCAGTCCCTAACATGGTAGCTTGGACTCGCTCTGAACCCTCTCACAGATCCACAGACTTAGGTCAAGGTGGCGGGAACTCTTCCATTCTCAGTAAAAACTCCTATGTAACCAGAGCTCACAGCCATCAACACTTCAGCCTCCGTGGCCTATTAACTACCTTTGACACTACCAACTGTGGTTTTCTCCTAAAATACTATGAGAAATTTTATTATTTACAAATTCTAGGAGGGAAACCCTCATCTACCTTTCATGACTCTCTCTTCTTGTGGCTAATCCTCTTGAATTGCTCCTTCATTTTGCACTTTAAAGGATCCCCTCCTACCCCCAAAAACTTCTGGCTTTCACTTTCAGGTTCACGTGGTACTCAGGTTCACATGGACCTCAGTGCCCTTCTCTTTCTTTCGGTATCTGTTCTCTGCATAATGTCTCCTGAATTTGCTACCTCCATACTGGTAATTCACAGATCTAACTCTTCTTCCAGTCAAGCTAAAAACACAGTCTTCAGCATCTGGCTGTGGATATCAAAATAAAACTCAAGATGATTAAAACAAAGGTCTTATCTTTCTTTCACAAAACCTGACTTGTTTTCTCACTTGCTGAGGATATTATCACTATCTTGTCTACAAACAGCTCTCATCTTCGACCTTCCTATGTGTACATTTTTACATCCTTCTATATAACAATCCTTCCCATCCAGCTTCCTATCAGAACTTTGACATTTTCCATCTCAACATCCTCTTTCCTGACTTTGAAAAGTGCCCTCTTGTCACACTTACATCTACTCTGCATGCTGCTGGTAAGATCATGTTTCTAGACTAAGTCTTTTTCACATTGTGACTTTTTTTTTTTTTTTGCTTTGCATTCTCCCATTGTGAAGCCCTTTTCTGTAACATCAGACAAAACCCATACACCTTCACTTCCAAAGCCCTTTGTGACCTGTCCCTTCCTATCTTATCAGAACCAATTTGTTACTATGAGACTGATCCTGCCTCCGACAGGATCCTGCCTCAATGGCAGCCTCCACCTCTCGCTTCTCCAGTGTGCACTTTGGTATTTCCTCCCAAGCTGGTCTCATGCTGAGAGGATCTTTCTGCAAACACCTTCAAAGTAACCTCCTCATCATTCTTTTAAAAATCCCAAAAGTTTATTTTTGGCCTGAAATTTTTTTTTTTTGCCAATGGCTAAGCTCTCATGTGCCAAGACTCCTATCTACCATTCCAACCAAGACTTTTATTGCCTCCTTCTGCTTCCCCATCTGTCTGCTACCCTCTTGTCTCTCACACTTTGCTTGAAAACTCTCCGGAGTTTGTCATCTTTCACCTCGTCCTGTGTTTGTGTGTAGAACTTTGCATACGAGGTTCCTGCTCCATTACCAGAACCACTAGGGACTCCAGGAAGTGATTTTATTATTGTTATTGTAATGATCACACGTGAAGTAGTTCCAACACGTTCTTTTTCCCTTACCCGGCGCTAGGGATAACACCCATATCCCTGCCACTCCTATTCAAGCAGCAAGAGTTCGTGCAGCATAGTTGAGCCACCTCATCTTTGTTCAATAAAAGGCAGTGCCACTACTGTAAAGTAGTTGTACAAATAACGCCCTATACTACATCATGCTGAACACGCGTGAGAAAAGCACCACCTCCCCAGACCAAAAGCTAACTCTGGTTTAAGCATAACCTGCTCCCATGTTGCCAACGTGTTACTTCCAACGTGGGAGGTTCAAGTCGTACAATATATAACTATACACCTGTAATTTTTCAGCACCGCAATTATCACTACAGTTTCACTTGGTTACTATTATTAGTGAGCATTCTTTTGTTATCACTATTATTGCCACAGATTACTCACCATCAGGTTTAAAAGGGATTTTATTTTTGTAAAAGCGGAGATTGCACAAGTCATTTTGATATCGAAGATCTTTAAAGTTCTGCTGAAAGAAAGGAAATACGACATTATCAGCCTACAAAAACCTATCAAGAGTATCCAGAAAGTGATACTGTGGTCTCTGCGTAATTTGAAGACAAAAAAAAATTCACAGTTTTATAAAAACTGGAAATCACCTAGAATTACTCATGCACTTAAAGATTCAGTTTAAGGATCTGCAAGTTCCTTCTGGCTGGTACCTTCTACTGAGGCAGAGGTTTGAGCAGCAAGCATAGCAGCACCTTGGCTTTGGTCTCAAGAAACTTGCAAGACACAAATAATAGTAAGTCCAAACTCTACCACCTACCCTCTTTGATGTTCAAGGCACAAACCCTTTTCTGGGCTCCTTCTGCTGTTCCCAGGCTTACACATCTCATACGATTGCGTGTACGCCTGGGATAAAAAGATGTTGCACTAGTTTCACTCCTCTCCCACTGACACACGTTGGGCCTCTGCATCAGCTTTTTGATTCTTCTCATTTCCCATATTTATTAGGCACAAAAAAGGTTTAGGAGTGTTTGGGTTGTGTGCTTTCTTCTACTAAAAAGGCAATCTTAAACCATAAAATATTCTTACCGGATACTGGTGTCGGTACTTGTACAAATCTCTTGCAGCGTAGAAGCTTCTCTTTGGCTTGGCTGTCAGCTCAGTTCCATCACCACTCTGAAACAGTTAGAAAGTAGATAATGACCATACACAAACAGACTAAATAGCGAATTTGTGTAATATTAAAATAATTATTTTCCATGATGGATTTCAGCAATGTAAACATGCAGAAGTGCATGTATTTACCTACTGTTTGGTCAAACACTGAGAATCTCCCTGCTGAATACTTAACACCACACACTTTAAACCTAAATTAAAAAATAAAATAAAATACAAGAGCAAGACTATGAAATGTCCTTCCAATGAGATTGAACTTGATTTAAATCAACAGGTTGACTGCTATTTCCAAATGCAAGACTTTAAAGTAACCTAGCTAGTGCTAGTACAAGATGAAATAAGTAACTGAACATGAAAATGCAGAGGCGCTACTCGTTTCGAAGTGGAAATCATACTATTTGCAAAGACTATTTGTCATGTGTGCGTTGACTTAACTGCTGTCATTGCCTCCTGTGAAAGGAAATGAATAGTCATGGACAAACCAAACTACAGTTCTAACACCTTGAACCATTTTCTATTATTTGTTTCTCAGAACTTAAATTTAAAGCCTAGTAAAGAAGGACCACTAAACCCCAAGCCAAAAACCTGCTTACAGAAAATACATATGTACGAGAACTTGTACTGGCCCCCGGCCGCTCGGAAGCCGTGACCTGAAACAACCAGAGCCTGTCAAGGTCAATGGAAATAATCCCACTGACTTCAGAGAACACTTGAAAAAGCTGCACGCATTGATGGAGAAGAGAAAATGAAGCACTAGCGCACAGAGACTTCAACCTGCTACCAACAACTTTATCTTCTTTGTCATTTCTTTATAACCACAGTGCAGCAGAGTTTTGTATTCTTCAGCCTCGTAAAATAAGTCTCTACACTAAAACCAGAGGCCAAATGAGGGAGGGGAAAAAAAAATAATCATTCCACTCCTTGCAATACACATGTAATAGGTTAAAGCCAAGCCTAAAAAGGGAAGTTCCCTGTGACTGCACTGGACATTTGCCTTTATTATTGCCCATCCCATTGCTTATTAATCACACATTAACGACAAACAAGCATCTGTTTTTATTCTTCCTTTTGCAAGACCGGCTTTGACCATACCTACAGGCAAAACACGCTTCCTTGACCAAGCAACACCCCTTGATGCTCAGTGATCAGGCATTAGCATCACCACGTATCAAGCAGGAAAGGGGAAAATGCCTACGCTTACTTAATTTTGCATGGTTTCTGAACCAAATATAAATGTAATACAGCCCACAGGCTAAAAAAAAAAAAAAAAAAGACGTGGCGGGTCTAGCCTGCATTCAATTCTAACCCCAGTAAAATCACTGGCACCGCAACCCTTTATTTCCTTCGGGTTGGCATTTTTAAGGGTTCCTAAAAGGCAGAAACTTGCTCTGACAATGCCTCACCTCGGACCCACCTCGGAGTCACGCATCCGCCGCCACGGACGACCCAAGGCTCAGATCGCACCACGTTTACTGAAGAGGCCCCGTTCGAGACTTACATTTAGCCTAAGGCAGGACCCTCTCTAGAAACAGCAGCGGCGGGACCGACAGCGGCTTCGAGGCCTC